TTATTTCCTTTATTTTAAAGCTTTGAAAATGCATATTCTGAGGTATCTACAGTGCAATTAGCTTGCAATTCTTCCGCTAAAAAAATTCAAAAACCAAATCTGCTATTCAATGGAGTCCAGCGACTGGCAGAAAATGTGTTAGTTTTTTAATTTGGAGGGGAAAGGGAAACCACAAAACCCCTTTTGGCTACGCTCATTTGGTGAATGTACTTAAACTTGGCTGCACTGGGGCAGTAAGTAAAGTTTCCCTTTCAGACAAGGAGGTCCGAGGCAATTGAAGGGTTGAAGACCCTCCCATGTTATATTATAGGTGTAGGCCTAATTCTCTACAAAATATATAAAGTTTGATATCGCATCGAAAACTGGATGTATGCATTCGTAGGATTACATACTGTATTCTATTTATACATGTATGTAGTCTGAAAACTATAAACAATACAATAGCAGCCTAATGAGTTTGAAGCTTTTTGGTATTACTTATAGTTTAGACATTTCTTCAAAAAATAAGATTGTTATGTCTTACGCATTTCATGTGTCAATCTAGTCACACATGTTGATCTGTGACTTAAAATATGCCAAATCATTGGTTTTCCTGGCTGACTCAGGCAACCCATTCCATTAAAAGATAAGAGAAAGCAGAACGGTTAGAGAGGCACTTTCTTGGCTCTTGCTTCCTCCTAGTACATTCTCAAAAACACGATTTGTATGTGAGCTTGAGCTCCAAGAGCAATTTTTTTATGTGCATTTTCATAGGCTAAAGCTGTTCTGTATATTTTTTTTTATAGGTTAGTATCAGATTTTATAACTGTACTTCCGCATATTTTTATGTAGGTTAGTGCGGGATAGTATAAAAAGTTATGTACATGCTGTCTTAAGACAGTTGAGTGTTTATTTGACCAGTGGTCAGTACAGTATATCTGTCTGTGTGACAGCTGAAGATTTTGTGGTCTGTGGTGTAATTATTTTATTATTCTGTACCTGGGACGGCCTGTAAGTTTGTAACTATTCTATATTTTCTTTTACTAGATCTATGTCACACTATGTGTAAATAAGCTAGATATATTTTAATTTAGTTTTATTTTCTAGTTGGCAGTTTATGTTTTGAGCATGTTGATTTAAAGATGGCGGCGCTCATCAATCCTGCTTTGAGTGTTCTAGATCTAATAGAATATATATGATTTTGTATTTATAGTTTTGCATTTATGTATTGCAGGCTATTATTACTGCCCCTACCCCCCCCCCCCCCCCCCCCCTGGATCCGCCAGTGATCTCAAGATTTTTTTAGACAAAAATATATTTTTTTCCTATGGTCTTAGGCGACCCCTGGAAAATTGTCATTCGACCCCCAAGGGGGTCGCGACACACAGGTTGAGAAGCCCTGATCTATCGCCATGCTTGTCTTGTTTAGAATTGAAAAGCTCGAAGACCGCAGTTTCGAGTCTAAAGAATGAGTAAACTATTTCATGTCACTACACCTACTCAGTGGCGACCTGCAGACTTTGCTCAATCTGAAGCAGACAAAGTGTCCCGGAGGTCTACTGAGGTTTTCTTTCGCCGTCTGCATCTAAAACTTCGGCACCGACTTTTCTTTAGTTTTCAAATGTGTGTCCTGCAATCATTATAAAAACATTTTCTTGAGTTGATTTTTTTATATGTACACCTAAACGTTTCGAGACAATTCAAAGTATAAAACCTGAGAGTTGAACATGTTTGAGGGAGAATTCACTACACTTAAAATATCAATGCTAAATATTTATTCTTATGATTCAACTTTCTCAAGCCTTCATCGTTCTATTTGTGAACTTCAACAAAATGCTACTAAGTAGCTTTCTATTCACTTGAAGAGATAGTTGATAATGCATTACTTCAATATGTGTACACTATTTGAATACAGAATTTATCTGAGTTTTTGCTGTCCACAACTGCAGTGTACACCATTTGAATACAGAATCAATCTGAGTGTTTGATGTCCATAACTGCAGTGTACACTAATTGTTGATAGTTTGAAAAAAGAAAAAGATACATATTTAGATGACTGGAGATTGAGTCCTAAGAGATATTTCCAAGTTGTCTCCCCGCTGACTGAGCGTGTGGTGGTACAGACGTCCGTCCGTCCTTCCTTAAACTGATGTCAGGGGCCAAACGTTTGTAAAGACGATAGAAGTCTTTGATGAGTTTTTCTCAGAGTACATAATCCTTTCTAGAATCTAAACTACTTGAGGTGGTGCCGAGGAAAGTCTGCTAAGAGTAGGCTACCATTGTATCATTGATAACATAACAATGGACCCCATTCACCAATCGTAAACAAACATTTTGCCAAGTGGTTCTCTATCTCTTCTATACAAATTACGCAATCTATAAAGGCTGTCACGTGATACGTAATTTTCATTGTTTTATCAATATTGTCACGTGGCTAAATGTTATTTATTTATTTATTTACGATTGGTGAATGAGGTCCATTAGATTTCATATGGCAGAGGTCGAGAAACTCGTTAGCCAAAAGAGATAATTTTTTACAAATTACATATGTATAGAAAAAGTCAATTTAAAATCACCAGTACTACATAGGAGGCGCAGTGGCTGAGCGGTAAAGCGCTTAGCTTCTGAATCGGGGTCTGGGGTTCAAATCCTGGTGCAGACTGGAAATTTTAATTTCGGGACCTGACATTAGTTGGGGAAAAGTAAAGGCGGTTGGTTGTGCTGGCCACATGACACCCTCGTTAACTGTAGGCCATGTAAACATATGACCTTTACATCATCTGCCTTATAGACCACAAGGCCTGAAAGGGGAACTTTTTACTTTACTTTTACTAGTATTACATATGTGTAGCACAAGTCAATGTCAAGTCACCAGTATTAAAAAATGTTAAGTATAAGCCAGAGTTTCTCAAACTGTGTGTGTGCCGCGGAAGATTTGCAGGTGTGCCGCGGGAGTTTCTACAAATATTTGAAATTTATACACCACAGGTCTGCCGACTATTAAATTTGTATCCTACGATGACACCCCCACTTGCAAACGACCAGTAATAGTAGCACGAACTCTTTTCTCTGTCCTGATAAATCGGAACTCTACATTATGACGGGAAAGGGGTGTTAGTTATTCAGGTTATAGAATTTTCGACTATACATATATATTATTATAATGACTCAAATGTAGGCCGCCCTAGCAGTTCTTGAATTGGTAACGATAATAATAAGCGATTGTTTTTCATTTCAATTGTTTAGGTGTATGCTAATAATAGCATATTATCATTAAGCGTTTTTCATTGTTATCCACGGAGAAATACGTTAGAAAGAATGAAACTGCGAAAATGTTAAATGAAAAGCAAGGAACCAAACGAAGGTACAAAGAAGATTACATCGGATATGGTTTCATATCTTCGGACCTGAAGATTCTCCATTGCCATTCTGTCTGATCTGCAATGAAACTCTATCGAATGTTTCAATCAAATTAAAGAGACACTTGGATACAAAACATCCAGCTGCAAAAGCGCAACCAAAGGAATACTTTGAAAACATCAGGGCGTAACAAAATAAACAAGCTAAGAAACATACGAACTACCTAAAGCTGCCAGAAAAGGGATTAATAGCAAGTTTTAAGGTTGCTCAGTTATTAGCAAACACAAGAAAGCGCACTTAGAGGATGAATCATTTCACCAGCTTTAGCAATAATTGTTGAAACTATCATAGGACCCGATGCCGCCGAAAAAGTTAATTAAGAAAGTTTCTTTGTCAAATGATACTATCTCGCGCAGATTGGAAGACATATCGTCAGTTTTAAAAGATCAAATCTGTGACGCTCCTGACGATGAAGTGTCTCTGCTGTGGTCTCTTCAAATTGATGAATCCACTGATGTTAACGGCAAAGCTCAGCTGCTAGCTTTTATTCGGTTCATAAAGTATGAAAAATGTGTCAACGAATTCTTACAATGTGGGGAAACTGTGTCAGCGTTTGCACCGATGGCTGTCCTTACATGCAGGGAAATAGAAAAGGATTTATCATTCATATCCGTCAAGAAAATCCAAACAAATTAGTTGTTCACTGCATGATCCACAGAGAAGCTCTTGTCTTCAAATCTTTGCCGAAAGATTTGATGTCTGTTCTGGATCAAGTTATTACAGTTGTAAACTTCATCCATTCTCGATCGCTTGCATCCCGACTTTTCTCTCTACTATGTGAAGCAATGAATTCAGACTAAAAATGTCTCCTGTATCACACCAATGTTCGTTGGCTCTCCAGGGGAAAAGTGTTAAAGCGTGTCGTTCAACTCAAGGCTGAGCTGATTTCATTCTTGGAGGCTGAAAAAAAAGTCTTTGGATTTTCTATTCATGGCGAGATCTGGTGGGTTAAGGTGATATTTCTCTCTGATTTATTTGACAAATTAAATTCACTGAATTTAAGTCTTCAAGGACAATCGAAAAACATTACTGCATCCTCAAAACTGAAGTCATTTGGTGAAAAATTGTCGTTGCAAAGTAAGATCTCGAAAGAAGTCTTCAACTGCTTTCCTATTTACAATAAATGTGATTCAAATATAGAAATCACCCCCAATTTTGGACACTTTGACACACCTGCAGTCAGCATTACTTTCCAACAGTTGGAAGTAATGAATATGGATGGGTCAGCTATCCATTTGGAAACAATGAAGCTACAAATCTTACAACTGAAGAAGCAGAGCAGCTCATTGATTTAAAAAACGAGGCAGCTCTTATGTCAAGTTTTACCGAGAAAAGCCTGGATGCGTTTTGGATTTTAATCAACAAGTTGTATCCTGCAATCAGTTTAAAAGCAATCAAAATAATTCTTCCATTTACATCTTCATGGTTTTGTGAGTTTGGATTTTCAGCACTGACTGAAATCAAGTCTTAGAAATGAGAGAGCATTCTTACAATAGACGATAAAATGCGAGTTTGTCGATTTTGGAGCCTAGATTAGATCGCATTTGCTCTAAAAAAGAAAAAAAAAACCAGCCACATCCTTCACATTAAATGTAATACTTAAAAACAGGTCGAATAAATGTTCATTTTATTATAAAATATCTGTTGTTCTTCCTGGTGTGCCGCGAATTTTTTTTAGTTTTTTTACTGTGCTGGCAGACAAAAAAGTTTGAGAAACACTGGTATAAGCCAATCTCAAGTCACCAGTATTACATATGTATAGTATAAATCAATGTCAAGTCATCAGTATTACATATGTACGGTACAAACACACTCCTAAGAAAACCAAAACAGAAAATCAGATATTGTTAGTACTGTCCTCATTAACAGCCACTTTCTACTATTTCATGAAGTAACAAATATTTGCTGCTTCTACAATAAACAACAGTCACTAAAACAAAACATTTTATTCTTGTAAATGTAGTCAACATAGTGTGTCAGGTTCAAAGGTTTGGAAATAAATTTGAAGACATTTCTTCATCTAGATCTAAACAAAGTTGTTGCATGAAATACAGAAATAAATGTAAAAAAGAGATTAAAAAACAAAAAAACAAAAGGTTTCTATGTGACCAAAGATTTGGTAAGAGAACAGTGACTACCTGTTCCAGTGCAGTACAAGTAATATTAGAAATAGCAAGTGTTAAATACAACTAGCCTAAACACTGGACAGCAGTCAGATACACACACAACTAGGTAGACTAGTGAAACAGAATTGACTTCTGGTCTAGCATTTCAGAAGTTGAAACTGGCAAATACTTTGAGCTATTGCTGAGTAAATCAATTGATAACTGAGTCAAAGTGAAAACAGAACTTACACAAAGTCATGTTCTATGTTTATGTCTTGGTACATACACATAGATCTCTTGGGTTTCATGGTGTGACTACACTACTGAGAGAGGAGTCCATTGATTGTTGTATTGTACCATTTACCAACTCGTTGTCCTTAGGATTAATAAAAAGGTCAACATTTAACACATGATGTAGAAACATAAAGCCTGGGAACTGACTCTAAGAATAACAAATCTAGTATGTGCTGACTGGCATGGGGTGCTAATACATGTGCTGACTGGCATGGGGTGCTAATACAAACAACAATGATATGATGACATGCTAAGCACAGACACAAACATACTGACACAGACATTCCAAGACACTCTTCTTCCATGAAGCCTATCTAGTGGTATCATGTCATGACTATGCAACTCATCAATTCAAACCAAACATACAAAGTCATGCTTTAAATGCATCTGATAAAACTCTGAAATAACTCAAAGTTTTGTCTTAAATTGAAACCCAAAATAAAGTGTAATGTAACATATTGCAGGTCAAATAAAACATACAGCATTGCACATTAGCACTACAATGTTCAGACCTGGTCAGAAGTAGCTGCTAATTTAACTTGGTCGTCAGCAGTACAATCTGAGACAGTTCAAATACAAGAATTATTACTTTTACTATTATTACTATTACAATAGAAAATAAAGATCTAATGGATATGTTTGTAAGTTGATTTTAGTCAAAGTTAAGTTTTCACAGAATTAAAAAAAAACAAAACCAAACAACAAAATAAAAAAACAAAACATATCATCAAGTGGGGGAGACCAGTGGTTCTGAAACTTTTTGAAGATTGAATTTTCTTTATTTTTTCATTTACATATATATATACATACACACACACAAAGCTTATTTTCTTCTCTGTACACAATTTGTACAGTATTAGGAAACTTATTTACCCCAAACAGCAAGCTAAGTAGGTTCTGGAGAAACTCTAATCCTGGTCTAAATTGTGTAGTCTGGAGATCTTCATCATTTTCATGAAATACTTTTGTCAGGAAAATGTTTTTATCAGAACATATTAAGTTGTATTTTACATAGATTACAAATAATTTAAAATCCAGCTCACTGTAACAAAAGTTACTAAAAATATTTACACAAAATGTCACAAAGTGATAAAATAATTAAAGGTAAAAAATGAGATTTCCTATTTCACAATAAAATTGTACTGCTAGGTCCTCCCTCATTCTTGAGCAGTGAAGGGGTAACAACTCTACTCTGGACATTCTCAGTTGAAGTTCTTGGATTCCTAATTATCAGTTCAGAGAACAATGTAGAAGTTCAATGCACAGACAGCCTACGAATGAGACTAGTGGCTGAATGTCACCAAGTAACAGGCTGACACATGCAGGAACTAAAGGAAGGATGAATGGTAAATATTAATGACACATCAGAATGGTAGTTCATTCATGAGTCCAAACAGGCAACAATTTGTTGAATTACATTCAATAATCCACTTCTTTGATTTGGACCTATTGTGTTTGTGGTTACAAGGCTAAAGCACTTAGCTAGTGTCAAGAACTTCATGATGATTGTCAGTGTAATGACATTTTCTACAAAATCATGTTGACTCTACGAGTGCTTCTGTTATATTCTGGCACAATATCAATGTGACTCTATATGAGTGCTTCTGTTGTATCCTGCAAAGTCCTCCTACTATATTTATACCCTGGCTGTACTGACACTAGTGAATGTTGCTTTGCGCCTGTTTCTCCTTACAAAAAACACTATAGCAAGAATGATGGCAGCAAGAATGGGAATGCAAACAACAGCAGCGCCACCTAACTGGAAAGCAATGCTGTTCTGGTGACGACCATGAATGATTAAAAAAGCCCCTGAAAATAAAGCAATAAAGATATTAGAAAATATAAAACTTTAAGAATTAAAAAGGTAACAAAAAATATGATAATTGCATTAAGTGTGGAATCATATACTAAAACTCTTCAGTAAGACAGCATATATAATTCGCTTCATGGCTCAACCATTTGGGACACTATGCTGAAAAGTCATGGAACGATAACTCTTTAATTTCTGTAAGTCGGACAAGCGTTACCCCACGTAACTTCCGCGCTGACAGAACAAGACTCAGAAAAAAAGAGAGAGGGGCTGGGGGCATATGCTACACCGCATGAGTAAGCTCGTATACTATAAGTCTTTATCAAGACAGTGTGACATCATATACTGTAACTCTTTAGCAAGACAGTGTGACATCATATGCTGTAACTCTTTAGCAAGACAGTGTGACATCATATGCTGTACTGTAACTCTTTAGCAAGACAGTGTGACATCATATACTGTAACTCTTTAGCAAGACAGTGTGACATCATATGCTGTACTGTAACTCTTTTGTAAGACAGTGTGACATCATATACTGTAACTCTTTAGCAAGACAGTGTGACATCATATACTATACTGTAATGCTTTAGCAAGACAGTGTGACATCATATACTATACTGTAACTCTTTAGCAAGACAGTGTGACATCATATACCGTAACTCTAGCAAGTGTTAGATAGCTAGTTTAGTTAGTTGAGTTGCCCACTTTATTAGAACGACAGTGAACGTACATTTTATAGTGTATAGTGACGACATAGACTTTGGGTTAGAGACTAGAATAGACTTTTAGCAATCAGTTACTGATAGACTTTCAAGGGGTTAGTCACGGACTCGACTGTGGCCCATTCTGTAGTTTGAAGTTTCATTCTGAGTGAACTTAGTTATTGAGTCTTTGTTCCAGTTGGTACCTGTTCATCTTGTGGCGGATAGCATAGTCTAGAAACTCGCAAAAGTAATACACTCAACAAGGTACGCACGCATCTAGTATAATCAAGCATCGTTAGAAATACTTCATGCACATCTGATTTATGCATGCATCCGTTACAAATGACAGTGTGACATCATATACTGTAACTATTTAGCAAAACAGTGTGACATCATATACTATATGGGTACATTGGACAGTAGGACTCCAGTGGATAAAGTTTTTGAACATTTAGAATACTGCCAAATACAAAATTGTAGTGGTTCAATTTTTTTCTATTAACGGAAAGTATTGCCTTCATAGAGTCACAGACAAGTCCAATGTTACTTAGGCCACCATCAGATGAATGAACCTGAGATGAAGGAACCTAACTATAGGTGTCCTACATACTTTGTTAAGGACATCAATTAGCCTGAAAGACAGAGGACCAAGTGAATTGGGTTGAAGTAGTTTCAAACACGTGACAAACCTCAAGCTTTCATCACGATGTTTGGACCAATACAAACAAATGTTTCAGCTAACGCATGCAGTCAAGTGCAATACAGACTACAGGCTAGAGTGTGCCCTAACTGTTGCTCCTATAACAGCTACACTGCTGATAACACAGACAAGACAGAGCAAAGCAATGATCAACAAGTGTGAGAGTTACACGCCCACTGAGAAACTTCCATTCAATGCAATCTCTGCCTAAAAAGGTGAAGGGGTTATAGATACAAGTTCAACTAGGCACTGACTGGAGTTGTAATCTGTTTGACAGATACATTGAAAGACAAAAATTATTGAATATTGAAACATGCTGATTACACAAACGATTATTCTGTGTAAAGATAAACTATTCCATGTAGGTCTAGACCTAGCCTAACTACTATCAGCATCTATTTTCTGACATCGTGATCAAACCATTTTTTTTCTTTATAAATGAATATATTTAATCAAAGGTAAAGGAAAGGCAGACTCTATATTACCCCCCCCCCCCCTTCTCTCTCGTGTACAGGATCAAAGGTGAACAGAGTTTTGCATGGATCTAAGGAGACACTCCAGTCAGTGTGCTAGTTTAGAGTTGAGAACAAGTCCGAGTGAGAGACTGCAAGAGTGAGAAACTGTGTGAGAGAGAGAGACTGTGTGAGAGTGTCACAAGCAGTTCAGAAACTGGCCAATCCAACAATGAAGAGGACTTCCCAGATATTGATCCAGTTTTTGGTTTCTTGCCACACGGCCAGCAAGCACGTCAATGGAGGGCACACACCAATGTCTGCTGCTGCTGTGTTGACTCCCTACAGCCGGACTGGGACTACAAGAATCCAAACGTTTTACGCCATCAAGTTTGTTGGCCCTGGCTCAGACTCTAACAAAATGATAAGCAGACTAACAAAATGATAAGAAGTAAACTCGAACACTTTAAATAGGGAATAGTGAGCATAAAGTACTCCTAAATAAAAACATTACATAGAGAGTTTGTGTAACCATACAAACTTAGGTGGCCCCCGAATGATCCGTTATGGACATGGAAAATTCAAGCCATGTATCTTTTAATAGAAAAAAAAGTAATATCGATAGGAAATAACAACAGACCTAGTCCTAAATCTTGAGTAACAACAAAAACTTAAAAGTCCAATTGGAATTGGAGTCGAAAAAAAATATCAACAACAAAAAAATGTTTTGAGACTTTTGGTCATGATCAGTACGCACGAAGTGTCTACAAAGTAGCTTCTAAAAACTAAGCGTGTGACTGACATGTCCATTTGCCTTTAGAAACGTTGTTTTACAATTTATATAGTTATTTATTTTATACATTGATTTTAAACATTTTTTTTTTACAAATGAAATTGTATGTATAATTGTTGAATATAAAGTATGCAACAAGCAAAATAGTAAAAAAAAAAAAAAGTATCTAATGGGAAGAACGACAAAATAGCTGTCATATATCTAAATACAGCAAGGTTTAATTCCCTTTTTCAATATAACACAAAAATTAACTACCACTAATTGATATACTAATGAATACATTTTTTGATTGATCCATGTATTGTCATCGACTATGAATAATTATGCAAAAGTTAAGCTTTCTACATTTCAGTGCATTTTATCAGTTTCTTTTTAACATTTTATTCACTTTTGCTTCGTTTTTAAGCACCATTGTAATCAATTTTGCTTCATTTTATGTTTGTATCATTACGTTCCATATAAAATGTATATAATTCAGTGTATTTTTGTTACAAGGAAATTATAGGTGAACACGGTAATAAAGACAACGTTAATTAACAAATCCTAGACAACGTTTTCTTTATAAATGATTAACATACATACACTCTTTGATATAATATTTAAATCCACATACAGTCTTATATAATATTTGTGTCACGTACACAGTATCTATATTTAGCTCGTCAGCGACCTCGGGAAATTCCATCACGCGGAGAACTATGTGAAAGAATAAATGTGATTGGTTTTGAAATATTAATTAATGTAAATTGGGCTGCATTTATTGGTTGGC